CCTAGGAGTTTACCCAAGAGAAATGAAAACATATGTCCACACAAAGACTTGAGTGTGAATGTTCCTAATAGCATTATTCATAATAGCCACAAACTGAGAGCAGTACCATTGTCCATCAGGTGATGGATGAGTAACCAAAGCATGGTATATCCATACATTGGAATATTATTTAGCAATGAAAATAAATTAAATGCTGTTATATGGATCTCAAAAACATTATGCCAAGTGAAAAATGCCAGACATAAAAGACTATCTATTGTATGATTTCATTTATATAAATCTAGAAAAAGCAAATTTCTAGACACAGAAAGCAGATCTTTGGTTGCCTGGGACTAAAAGTGAGATCAAGGATTAACTGCAAATGGTCATAAGGAAACTTTTTTTGAAGATGGCACTTTGTTAAAACTGGATTATAAGACCAGGCACGGTGGCTCAAGCCTCTAATCCCAGCACTTTGGGAGGCTGAGACAAGAGAATTGCCTGAGCCCACGGGTTCAAGACCAGTCTGGGCAACTTGGCGAGACCTTGTCTCTACAATAAAAAAGTAAAAAATAAATTAGCTGGACCTGGTGGCGCCTGCTTGTAGTTCCAGCAACTTGGAAAGCTGAGGGGGAAGGATCGTTTGAGCCAAGCAGGTTGAGGCTGCGGTGGCCGTGAGTGTGGCACTGCACTCTAGCCTGGGCGACAGAGTGAGACTTGGACTCAAAAATAAATAAATAAATAACTGGATCATGGTGATGACTGCATAGCTCTATAAATTTGCTAAAATCATTTAATCATTTAGTTAAATGGAAGAGTTTTGTAGAATGTAAATTTTATCTCAATAGAGCTGTTAATTTAAAAGATAATATTAATAAAGCCTTTAGCATAATTAAGTAATCATTAATTATTTTCTATGCAAAAGAAATAGAGAGGGATTGAGGTCAAAGAGTGGTCTGCAGGTTCCTTGGGTCTCTGAGACTTCCTCAGGGAGTTCTTGAAGTCACTTTCCTCATAATACTTAGCAGCTATTTGCCTTTTTCACTGACATTCACACTGTACAAGAATATCACTAGGTGAAACTGCTGGTGCCTTACCTTAAACCAAGGCATGATTATCAAACCTTATTATTAGTAGTCGCCATATTCTCTACCACCATGGAATCTTGGTAGAAAAATAAGTCCCATTTTCACTTAAGAATACCCTGATGAAGCAGTAAAGATTATTTAACTTTATTAAATCTTGTGGCTTGGGTGCAAATGTTTTTAATAATCAATGTGAGGATATGGGAAATACACACATAAAGTGTTTTTTCTGCATCCCCAAGTAAGAGGATTATCATGAAGGAAAGCACTTCTGCAGCTGATTGAGTTGCAAGTTGAACTAGCAGTTGTTTTTTATGGGACACTATCTCTACTTTAAGAAAAAAACAAATACCCGGCTGATAAATTATGGACATTCAGACCTTGTATTTGGCAAATTATTTTCTTTAAAAAGAATGAAAAAAGCCTGGCACTTCAAGAAAAAGAACTGACAGTATTTGTTGCCCGTGGTAAAATTCAAACTTTGCTTTTTTTGAATAAGGGTCTCATTCTGTGGCCCAAGCTGGAGAGCAGTGGCATGATTTCAGCTCACTGTACACTGCAGTCTTGATCTCCTGGGCTCAGGCAATCCTTCCACCTCAGCCTTCTGAGTAGCTGGACTACAGGTACATGCTACCATGCCTGACTAATTATTTTTATTTACATATTTTTTTAGAGACAAGTTCTTCTCACTGTATTGTCCAGGTTGGTCTCAAACTCCTAGACTCACGCAATCCTCTCCCCTCAGCCTCCCAAAGTGCTGAGATTACAGGTGTGAACCACCAACACCCAGCCAAAATTCAAACTTTAAACAAAAAACTAGAGTTTTGGAAAACTTGTATCTACTACCATGAGCTTAACAGCTTTAGTCAAGAGTTTTCTGATGAGACAGATGGTGATTTTAACATGTGATCTTTACATATTATGCAATGAACTGTGTCAAAATCTGGAGATTAAGTAAAAAGGTCTTGACACTAAAAGGTTTGCCTGTTTTCCAGGGCAGCCCATAGCATGGACTTTGGGGCCAGACTGCTTGGGCTCATGCCAGTGCCACTACTGGCTACTTGTGTTATCTCAGATAAATACCTCATCTCTCTGTACCTCAACTTCTTTATCTATACAATGGGGGTAATGATGGTATTCATCTCAGAAGTATTCAAGCATAGAAATAAGGTAATATATAAATATATGTGAACATTAAACTAAATTAATACATGTAAATTGCTTAGAATAATGCCTGACTTACAGTAAGTACTCAGTGAGTTGTGATGTTTGGTCTTGGTGAGTGATAAAATGTAAAAAAGAACATATATATTATAAATGCATAATTGAAAGTACTTTGTTTGGGGGGAGAGGGTGGGGATTTGTTTTTGAGTCGGAGTCTTGCTCTGTCACCCAGGCTGGAGAGCAGTGGCACGCTCACGGCCACTGCAGCCTCCACTGGCTGGGCTCAGACAATCCTTTTGTTTCTGCCTTCGAGGTAGCTGGAACTACAGGCATGCGCCATCACACCCAGCTAATTTTTTGATTTATTGTAGAGATGAGGTCTGGCCGTGTTGCCCAGACTGTTCTCAAACCCATGGGCTCGGGCAATCCTCTCGCCTCCGCCTCCCAAAGTGCTGAGATTACAGGCGGGAGTCAACCATGCCCAGCAGAAGGGTATCTGTAATTATATGCCCTGTTTCTTTCTCAACTAGGAAACCTGAAACGGCTTTTCGCCTTTTGCCTCTGCCTCTCTTCTGGCCCTGTGAGTGATGTTCTACAAAGGGCCGGCATGTTCTCTCTCCTGTCTGCCCACTGAGCCTCTGCTGTTGGCGGGGAAGGGTCCATTCTTTACTTAGCAACCACAGAATGTGTTTTTGGAAAGATTTGGTGAGGCAATGTAATGTTGAAGGGTACAGCTTAATAGAAACAGTGTGCCAATGAATATCATTTGTATTCCTAGAATTAGAAATCGTTTTCCTGCCTCAGTAATGTTTAAAATTGCCATTTCAAAGAATTTGGGAAATTGTGTGAATAGAGAAAAAGATAAGTTTTTGACTTATCAAATGTGTGCATTTTCAGTGTTCAATCTAAGCAGACATAAAATTTAAAGGAGAAAATGACCAACTTGGAAGGAGTTACCTCTTCAGTCCTGCAGAGGGACTACATCTGAGCTATTTTTACCTCTTTTTACCTTTAATGTTTAAAGACAGGCTAATACCCGCTGACATTGTTCATTTGCTGAGTATTTGCTGAGAGCAATCTATGAGGTGCCAGGACTCTTGCTCTTCAGCCCCAGTGGTAAAGAGAGGGCACGGCCCTGCACTTCTGTAGCTGGTACACTGGTTTTCTCATTTCTCCCACCTTCTTTGAAAAAGATAATACAGTTCACCTGCTGTTCCCTGACCTCATCAGCAGGCAGAACAGTATATATTTTACACTTAAATGCTCATGAAAGCCTTCTTAATTTTAATATAAAGTAAGGAGAGTGAGACAGACTGCAAGTGAGTTATAATGACTGTTTCTTTTCCTAGAAGAACACACACAACATTACCACATTTTTAGAGTCCTAGTGTCATGCAGATAAGCTTCTGTTGGGTGGCCAATAGCAAACAGTTGGAACATGTAAGTCACTGGAGTTCACTGACTGCCATAGTTTCTGCTGTCCTAGGAGAAATATGAACTCAAAAGAGTTTATTTGGGCACCGTCTGTCTTATGTGTCATCCCACATCTCTTTGCTGGTGGTAAGAATGTTGGCTTGGCCCACAGCAGTTTGTATTCCTCACCCTAGACTTGGTCTTTAACTATGGCCACACCTATGGTCCACATCTATGAGTTCTGTACTTGAACATCTATAGTCAACCCTTAAGTAAGGTTAGAATAGTCTTTCCTTTCATTTTAGGGATATGTTTTGCGAGCAGATTATAAAGCCCCTTGACTATCTTTTTAAAGATAATCTGGTTGGGTGCAGTGGGTCATACCTGTGATCCTAGCACTTGAGGAGGCTGAGGCGAGAGGACTGCTTCAGCCTGCACAAACGTGGTCTCTACAAAAAAAAAATCAAAAAATTAGCCAGGCATGGTGGCTCACACCTATAGTCTTAGCTACTTGGGAGGCTGAGGTGGAAGTATCACCTGAGCCCATGAGGTCGAGGCTGCCATGAGCTGTAAGTGTCATGATCATGCCACTGCATTCCAGCCTGGGCAACAGAGTAAGACCCCAACTCCAAAAAAAAAAAAAAAAGATAATCTTGTAAAGACACAGAACAATTGTATTATTGAGACAGTGCCTTACTGATATACTGACATTTTAAGAGTTGAGAGTATTTTACCCCCACAAGGCTGGTATATTGGAAATAAGAAATCAGGTCAAGCTAAAAACCAAAGAACTACTTCTTCCATAGGCTGGTATTGAATCTTATTAATTCAGTTGCAATTATTGAATTGAATTCAATCCCAGTATTTGTTGTAGGTTGAAAATATGAGTTATTTTTAGGCATGCTCCTGTCCCTGTCATGGCTAGAGTCTTGAGAAAACACTTTGCCTCTGTAATTGCAGTTGCCTTTTACAAATAAAATTCACTGAAGTCGTTTTGGACAAGTCAACAACAGCTGTGACTGTACTTCGCCTGCTTCTTTTGACACTAGATCTTCAGTTCTCTGATTTTCTTGCTATTAAAGAATTAAATATTTAAGTTCATATTGTTTCCTAAACAGAGTCATAGCTGTTAGAAAGTTAATTCCTCTTTTCATAACAGTGTTCCCTTTTAAAAGGTTTGACAGGATCAAACATTGTTGTACTGTGCAACATCTTTGCAAGGACATTTGTCCTTGTGAGGTAGCCAGCTGTGGGAGAAGGCCCCAAATGGATCTAACATTTCTGTAATGAAAACTCATACTACTGTTGAATTGCAGATTCTAATCTTGCCTTTCACCTGTGTGTGCTTATGTGTTTCAGGAAAAAAGTGCCAGCTCAAATGTAAGACTTAAAACTAATAAAGAGATTCCGGGATTAGTTCATCAACCCAGAGCAAAGTAAGTTCTAGTTCCTGTTTTCCTTGTACTGTCCTCCCTCCATCCACATCCATGGCTTCTGCATCCATGGACTCAACTAACCACCAAAATTATTCAGAAAAAATTAATCCCACAAAGTTCCAAAAAGCAGAACTTGAAGTTGCCACACGCCAAGTACTACACTGAATCCATGTGAGTGCACAAGTATTGTATTAGGTATTTTAAGTAATCCAGGGATGATTTAAAGTCTACGGAGGAATGTGTGTAGGATATTATACAAATTTTGTGTCATTTAATATCAGAACCTTGGACATCAATGGATTTAAGTATCTGTAGGGGAGGGGAGTCCTGGAAGCAGTCTCCCATGGATACCAAGGGATAATTCTATTATTTTTTTAAAGCCAAAAATGTTTTCAGAGTGAGTTCTATTTTGTGTGCTAGAAAATCAAAACTTAGGAGAAAGCCTTAGGAATTGAGACAGAATGTTTTGTGTAACAGAAGAGAATAAAGAAAACAGACCTACATGACAAAGCTGACTTTGTAGGCCAGTTAGAAGAAAACAAAGAGAATTATCATTGTGACTGTGGGGTAGGGAAGAATTTTGAATAAAACACAATGGATACAGATCTTAAGGAAAATCATTAATTAATATGACTGCATTAAAATTAAGAACTCCATAAGAGAGTAAAAGACCACAAAATGGGAGGCATTTACAGCATACATACTTGACAGTAGTTGGATTTCTAGAGCATATGAAATAATTCCACAGATCACTAAGTAAGAGGCAGCAAACCCATTCCACAGATCACTAAGTAAGAGGCAGGAAACCCATCATGAACAATCATTTGACTGAAATGTGAATGGCTAATGTATATAGAAAAATGTCATTTCACAATACTAGATTGACAAGAAATGTGGAAGTCTGACAATACAAAAAGGTTGACCAGGATGTGGAACAACAAACACTCTTAACCTCTGCTGGTGGGACTATCTGATAACAATTAGTTTGGGAAAAAATTTGCATTATTTATTAGAATTGAACCTGGGCACATCTGACCCCCAGCAACTCCACTGCCAAGTGTATTCCCTTGAGAAACTCTTGTACCATTTGTGCCAGGACGCATATTTTGAAATGTCCATAGCAGCATTGTTTACATGAGTTCTTACATGATTACCAACAGATGGCCGTTCATAAATGTTTATTTTTAAAATGAATGCATTTTTAAAAGTTAAAAACAATAATGAGTAGTTTTCTACATGGTTTTAGAATTGACTGTAACCCTGACGACAAAATGTACTTTTTGTGTGACTTTGAAGCTAGACTCTCCCTTCTTCAGAGAGGCTCTGTTATCCCAGAGGCTAGAAGTCTCTACCGTGGCATTCTACCTAAATGCAAACAAATTCTTTGAGGATACTAATGACACTGGTACATTTGACACAATCACCCCCACCCCAAAATAAATGTGACTTTTCCATGTATTAGTAGCCACATAAAGCAAAATCACAAGCAGATGTTATATTATCCCTGGCTATTCCAGAAAACTGAGGTCAAAATTACCTAGGATATAATCACTTTAGCCTGACTCAGTGTTGAAAAGCCATTGCCTCTGTGGTGTGGCAGGGAGGATACCTCAGGGGTAGGTAATGGGTTCAGTGATTTTATTTTTACTTTCAAAGAAAACTGGACATGTTAAAATCCACTTATCACAATGTCAGTGTAGTGATGCATTCGATTCTTTCACCCTTGGGTAGACGTTATCCTCTAGCCATGACCTCCTTAGCCCCCCCTCACTGCTGATCACCTTTATTCATTTTATCTGTCTTTGGGGACAACACATATCTGATAACACAGCCAAATCACCTTTTCTGTCAAGCCACCTGAAATATGCTATTTTTAAAAGCTTCCCTCATCTCTGCATTATAAGGAAAGCTTGGATGGAAGAGAATGTCTCTTTTCTGTTAGAAAAAAAAAATACTTATTTGACACCCTAAAGCAGCACACTTCACAGACTGACATGTGCTGAAGCTTCCAGAGTCCAGAGACATTTATTAAGTTAACTTATGTGTTTACACTAAAATAAGTATTGTTTTAGAGAGCATGCCGCTGTTTTCCACAGCGGCATGCTCTCTCATGTGTGTGTGTGTGTGTGTGTGTGTGTGTGTGTGTGTTTTAAATTGTGAACCAGAATGTTGGAGGCCTGGGATTCAATTAAGAAATCTTTCTGGAGAACCAAGAGAAGAGTTTTCCTCTTCCTACTTGTTGAAATACAGGCTTGAGAAAAACCATCATTTATCATACAGATGTATGAAGTTCTTTTTCCCCATGAGTGGAAGGACCATCCCATATGATAAAGACAGATAATCCTCACACCTTCATCTGATGCTTTAATTCAATCTCAGGCAAGTGGCCAAATGACTTTGAGCTTTAGTTTTCTCAGAGAAAAATGGATGTGAAAAATTCTATCATATAGGACTGAGGAATAGAGGAATTAATGCATGCTCAGTGCTTATGGCATTGTCTGGTGCTTGGTGAGGTCTTAATCATTAGAAACAACTCAAACACCCTTTAACAGGAGATTGGGCAAATGAGCTGCACTGTATTTATGTAACAGAATATTAGTCAGCAGTCTACACAGGCTTACTGCAGCAAAGCCCAGTGCTGGGTGGGCCCTAGTAATAGAACATTAGAAGAAAAGCTTAAGTCTTGAAAGATTACGTAGACATGGTGCATTCTTTACAAAGTTAAAAACACCTGGAGTAAATAATCTGTTTTTTAAAGGCACACATAAATATGCAGTAAAACCATAGAAAAAGAAAGCGAAAGAGTAATGGTCACATTTAGCTTGGGGACACGCACACACAAAAATAAATAAAATGAGTGATGCATAAACTGCTAGTAGGAGTCTGTCATGAAACAAGATTAGAATGAATCTACTTCCCTGAGGTCTAATTGAAAAATAATGGTGATCATAAAGAAATAACTGTGTTCAGCCAAGATTTATCAGGAACCCACTGGGTGACTGAATTTCATTTTTGCAGGTGTAAGGGAGACAAAACTTTATATCCATCCCCTCAGGGTCTCTGGTTGGGTCTGAGAATTAAAATAACATAAAGCAGATTAACAGGAGAAAGACACTGATTTTTACATGTACATGGGAGCCCCATAGGAAAATGAAAACCCAAAGAAGTAACAAAACCTACATACTCATGTACTAGGTTAAACAAAGAGAGGCAGTTGTGGAAAGGTACCTAAACTATGTGGGGAAACTGAAGGAAGGTGAGAGTTTTGTGGGTTTTGTTTTGTTTTTGAGCCAGAGTCTCACTCTGTCACCCAGGCTAGCATGCAGTGGCACAATCAAGGCTCACTGCAGCCTCAACCTCCTGTGCTCAGGCAATCCTTCCACCTCTGCCTCCCAAGTATCTGAGACTACAGGCACCTACCACCTCACCCAGTTATCTTTTGCTTTTTTTGTAGAGACAAGGTCTCACTGTGCTGCCCAGGCTAGTCTCAAACTCCTGGCTCAAGCAATCCTCCTAATTTAGCCTCCCAAAATGCTGGGATTACAGAAGTGAGCCACCATACCCAGCCGGGAGTTGTTTTAACAAGTTCTGTTTGTATAGAATTCTCTTGACTCAACTCTCCATCTCGGGAGATATGAAGGTTTCTTTCCTCCTGGTATAAAAAGGGCATCATTGTTCCAGTAGGAGTTTTATCTCCTACTTTAAGGAAGAAAAGAGGAGGTCAGAGCATCCCCTGTACCTACTGTTTTCAGTTTCTTTTAGCTCAATATAATCCTTATGCAAAAGTGGGCATATTTTGAGATGATGTATTCATAAGTAAAGTATTAGGGAATAGGGACCTTGCCTCCTCGTACTTTTGTGCTTAAGTTTTCATTATTTGAAAACTTTGTTTTTTTAAAGTGAAAGCTGTGCATCTTTTGGTTCTAAAGCCCATTTTGCCCACCATTCATTAATTTTTTACTTTACATTATGGTTCTGTAGTCTTGTCATCCCTAGTCTTATGAAGCTGAGAAGTCCCAGGAAGAAGAGTGTTTAAAAATACGTCATGGAAGCTGGGCTCGGTGGCTCAGCCTGTAATCCCACGCTTTGGGAGGCTGAGGTGAGTGGATTGCCTGAGCCCATGGGTTCGAGACCCGCCTGGGCAACTTGGCGAGACCTCATCTCTACAATAAATCAAAAATTAGCCGGGCATGGTAGCGCGCGCCTGTAGTTCCAGCTACTTGGAGGGCTGAGGCAGAAGGATTGCCGGAGCCCAGCAGGTCGAGGCTGCAGTGGCCAGGAGCGGCCACTGCACTCCAGTCTGGGTGACAGAGTGAGACTCCAACTCAAAAAAAAAAAAAAAAATACATCATGGAGTGGCTGTACTCCAAGAGCTTTGCCAGCACTAACTAGGGGTCACAGGAAGCACACCTGTGGAGTGTTGCATTTTCTAAGATTGAATTTTAGATATTAGAGAGAAATAGGAATTACCAAAATTATTGAGCTTTATTGGTTAAATCAGGCACCAACATACAGGCTTTTGTAAGTGAATGTTAATGAACCTTAGCAACTAGTATTTATCCTTTATCCACTTAAGTCATAAACAGTTCAGTGATCCCTTTCTAATATCTTGAGGAAATATAGAAAAGCCAGTGAGATTCACAATAGCAAAAACATGGAATCAACCCAGATGCCCATCAAAAATGGAATGGATAAAGAAAACATGGTCTCTATACAGAATGGAATACTACACAGTTATAAAGAAGAACAAAATCATGTCCTTTGCAGACCATCATTCTAAGTGAACTATCACAAAAACAAAATACTGAATACTATATGTTCTCACTCATAAGTGGACCCTGAGCACAAAGGAGGGAACAACAGATGCTGGATACTGTTAAAGGAGGAAGGAAGGGAAGGACTAGAAGGGGCACAGAACCACCCATTTGGTACTGTGTCTACTACTGGGGGAGAGAGGGCTTGCTAGAAGCCCAAACCTCTCCTGCATGCAATTGACTTATGTAGCAAATCCTCACATGTGCTTTTCAATTCTAAAATAAACTAAAACATAAATAAAATTCAAAAATACAATGTTTTCAAAAAACCAATGAGCTTTTCCTCCTCCTTTCTCACCGACTCACAATCACTAAATTGTGCATCAGAAAGGATTTAAGAATCGAGTCGCTACCCAGGGACTCTCCACAGTGCAGTTCATCCTCTTGAAGGTGAACGGCTATATCGATACCACCGTGTTGATAGGTTTTCACGTGGGAAGAAGAGATCCATGTTTATCTAGGCGGGAATCCATTGATGTGGGGTAACTTATTTCATCAGAGTAAAAATTCTATCTCTGCCCCTGTTGAAGAGATTTCTGTGCTTCTCTCAGACTCTTACCCCATGGAGTACAGCAGAGTGAGCCGCGTGCTTTAAGATCACACGAAACCTGACACAATGCACAGGTGACTAGTGTGTGGGCATTGGCTCCTCTGGCAGTGTCTGCCATGCTTCCAATGACAACAGAAGTTATCTGGGGGAGTTTGTCTGGTGCTTCAGGCTTTGATAATAACAAGTCTCCCTTTCCTTCAGTCTTTTCCGCTTACCACAGCCCACGTATTGTGTTTCCAGTGTGTGCCTTTTCTCAAACGAGGGGAACCAAAAAAAACCTGGAATTTATTTATGAAAAATTGTGTATTTATTCTTACATGTTTAGACTTCAGTCACCTTCAAAGTACTCTTTGTTTGGTGCAATACACCTATTGAGATGCTTTTTGACTGCTCGGTTGTTGAACTCATCAATTGTGATGCCTTTTAGCGTTTCTGCCGGTTTTTGTTTCATCTCTTCCACATCAGCAAAACGTTTCTCTTCAAGGACTTTTCTCATGAGGGAAACAAAAAAAAAGTCACTTGGGGTGAGAACAGGTGAATAGGGAAAGTGGGGCACGGGGGTCATACTGTTTTTGGTCAAAAACTGCTGAACACTCAGTCTGGTGTGGGCAGGTTAGTGTAAATCACCCATGATGAAATGGGCAAACGCATTGAAAGCATCTCAAAAAAAAAAAAAAAATTCACTGAAGCCAAACGCAGCCTCTCATAACAACACTAGCTTGGACACCAGTCCCGATAAGTTCCTAGAACACTTACCTAGCAGGGAAGCCTGTACTGCAAAGGTCCCGTCCTCCAAAAGATAATTCTGCATTTTGGGGGTGCTCCTTCATACTTGGGAAGAGTTGTTGAGTTAGAAGATGTGACAAAGGCAGGGAAGGATATTCTAATGCCCTTAGACAAAGAAAAGCAGGCAGCGTTTCTGTATCATGGCACAACACAAAACTGAAACCACAGAGTTGTGGGCCTGCTTTACCATATGTTCATCCTGAGATCCTTGGCCACCATGTGGTCTCAAGCTCCTGATAGGGATCCTGAGCCTATGATAAGTATGTTCTTGAACACAGAGATGGCAGACACATTTGCATCATTGTCTTTACTTAAAATTTTCCTTTTGTCCCTCTGTTGCTGTTCTCATACAGTGGTGTTTAAATAAAGGAGTAAGTGAGCATTTGTAACCATCACAGGACTGTCAGTGGTAGGGAACTCGGAGACCAGCCCTGGTTTTGACTCTGAGGCCCTGAGCATCACCCATGCTGACAAACTGTGTTGCCACTGTGAGAGGTTATGACTCATATGAATTGAAATGGAGAGCACTCTGTCAGTTAATTAACGATCAAATATTTGTTGCCTCCATGTAATGTGCAAGGGAATATATGTGAGAAAGTTCCCACAATGAAAACCAACTCCTAAAAATGACATTTTTTAAATGAAGTCTCTTGGAATTTCCTAGGAAAACTATATATACATAGGCTTAGCTATCTGTCTAGTAATCTGTCTTAAGAGAGAGTGAAAGAGCAAGCGAGAGAAAGAAAGAGAAAGGAGATCTTAATGCCTTTCCTGTCTGGGACCTAGAGCAACCTTGTCTCTTGAGAGCTTAGCCAAGAACAGGAAGGATGCTCAAAAGGGTGAGCAGACAAAATGGGTGACAGGATATTAGTGTCCTGCACTCATAGGAAAGCCCCCCACTCTCCTTTGGAGGCTGTTTATACTAACTTTAGGCACAGCTCTAACACACTTAGCTGTGCTGTTTCCAAGCATGGCATAGAAGCAGCAGCTGGCAAGCATGCCCAAGAAGAACTGACACCACCCGACCAGAGGGAATCAGAGGAAGAACCTCACCGGCAGGCAAAGCAGAAAGGCACTGGAGCCGAAGGCCCTTTTGCTTAAAGAGAGCCAACTCTACCCATCCTAGGCCTCTGGGCATCAGAGTATTACAGAAGATAACTGCCATTTGTTCTGTTTTGTGTTTGAGTCACGGTCTCACTCATACCTCAGGCTGGAGTGGAGTGGCACAATCATGGCTCACCATAGCCTCCACCTTCTTGGCTCAGGTGACCCTTCCACCTCAGCCTCAGCCTCCCCCTCATCACCCACAGTAGTGGGAATACAGGTGCTGCATCACACCCAGATAATTTTCTTTTCTTTTTTCAGAAATGGGTTCTTGTGTTGCCCAGACTGGGCTCAAGTAATCCTACTGCCTCGGCTTCCCAAAGTGCTAGGATTACAGATGTGAGCATGCCCAGCTTGCAATTTAAGATGAGAATGGCCTCCAGTTATTAAGTGAAAATTAAGTAATTTTTATGAGCGATCCTCTATCGTAAGAGTATGCGGTTGCATGAGATTTGCATCCAAAGCAACTCAAGTAAAAAAATGTCTTGGTGCTTACCCAAGTAAAATCATGAGGAATCTGGAAACCTCAGCTATGCAAAATGGCTTTTCTTACAGTATTCTACAGAAAAGAGACAGTTTAATGTATTCCCCTCATCCCAGATTCTGCCCTGCCTTCCAAACCTGCAATAACACTGGGCCTATTTCCCAAACAGAACATTTACCTTATTTGAATGCTCATATCAAGGACAGTAAAAATTTAATGACATGTATGAAAGTGCTTTGTAAACCATGAAAGCTGATTAATGGCATCAGATATATACATTGTTTTCCTTTGCTATCTGAGCTGATGTCATTGTGCCACAGATTTTCAGTCTTGCTTTTATTTTTAAATACAGGAGGAAACCTCCTCTGAGCCCTGAGCCCTGAGCCCTGAGCCCTACTATCTGTCACAGCAGGCCTGGCAGGTTTCAGGTCATTTGTTCTCCTTTCTGTGGACCCTGAAATGTAAGGCATCATGCTAAAGGGTACATCAGGCCAGGTACAGTGACTCATGCCTGTAATCCCAGCACTTTGGAAGGCTGAAGCGGGAGGATTGCTTGACCCCTGGAATTCAAGACCAGCCTGAGCAACATAGAAACCCTCGTCTCCACAAAAATTTTTTAAAAATTAGTTGGACGTGGTGGCACATGCCTGTAGTCCCAGCTATTTGGGAGGCGAAGGCAGATCACCTGAGCCCAGGAAATTGAGGTTTCTGTGAACCGTGATCGTGCCACTGCACTCCATTCCAGAGCCTACTCTCCTCCATCCTCTCACCCCCAGACACATCAACCACTAGGCACTTGCAGTAACTGGAAGAAACACTCTTACCCAGCATCCTCAGCTCCTTGGAATACCCACAGCTATTTGCTAGGGCGAAACAACTGTCATTAAGACCATGCTACCACTGAAGCCCACTATGCCCCATGCCCTTCCCATCTCTGATCTCCTTCCCTTCTCATGCTTTGTCTTCACCACCATATCAACCCTTTCAATAAGCAACCTGTTCGGTGGCAAAGGACAAGCAAACAGATGGCAAATGCTACACAGACATGCTTCCCAACTTGCTTCCAAACTCTAGTGGAATTCATCTCCAAAGAGGTGTAATTGCTACTGCCAGTGCAGGATATGTTTAGGAGTGTCATGAGGCCTGTGCTTTAGCTGGCTCTCAGGCCAGTGCTGACCACCTTCATTAAATCTATATTTCCACACAATAACCAGGATACATTTTTCTCTTTTTAAGAAAAATAATTTTTTTGAGTCAGAGTATCTCTGTTACAGCTCAGGCTGGAGTGCAGTTGTACAGATCACGGCTCACCGCAGCCTCAACTTCCTGGACTCAGGTGATCCTTCTGCCCCAGCCTCCTGAGTACCTGGGACCACAGGCGCACTGCACTCCACCATGCTCAGCCTTTATATATATATATATATATAATTTTTTTAAACAAAGACAAGGTCTTTTATTGCCCAGGCTGGCATTTTTCTCTTTTATTTCTTTTTTTTTCCAACACAGAGTTGAAATACACCATGTGCTGCTTGCTCATGCTTTTTTTAAAAATCACAAACGTGTGTCTGAAGAAAAAAATTGGCATGCAGCTCCTAGTAACATGACTATAAATAGCATCTGTACATCGAAAGGGAAGCGTATTCCTCAAGTCATAGGCACCAGTAGACTATTATGAAACACATTTGCCGGATTACTGTAATGACATTTATCCTCCATAGAACTTCAGAGGATTTCAGTGGAAAAGTCTGCCCAAAAAATGAATGTCCGCCCAAAGTGTAGGGACTCAGCATTTTTCATTTGTGGGGACTGGGTCTAAGAAAGCACTGATGTGCCCTTAACTGCTCTTTGTTTTTCAGCATGCACATCTCTGAAAGCCAACAAGAATTCTTCAGAATGCTGGATGAAAAAATTGAAAAGGTAAGAAGTGAAATAAATTAACCATGTGTTTCGAGGGAAATATACAAATGGCTTCCTATATGAGTGCAACAGTTCTTCTTGTTTCTTTGTTATAAAGCTGTTTTTGTAAGGGGTTGAGTAGAGAGTTAAAGCAAAAGTCACCCCCTTTCCAAAATAAAGTGTGTGTGAGAATGTTTAGTCTCCAATAGATCCTCTCATGACTAAGGGGTGTCTTCCCAGAATACGAAAGTGTGTAAGGTCAGATGCGCAGCCTTTGCCTAGACAGAGCAACACTGCATGTCATTTTGTGCCTGACCTCAGATCTTAGTCTCTCTAAAACCTATCAAGGGCCTGCTGCATGTGTGGTACTGCCCTGAGTTCTTTACAAACATTTTCTACCTGTTTCAGTTAATACTTACCTCAGGGCAATGGCTGTCAGACAGGTATCATCTGCATTTTAGAAACAAGGACTCCGGATACTTGAAGGCAAATCTGTGTAAGTGGACCTGTTGGAATTTCAGCCCATGTCTGTCTGACTCCAAAGCAGTGTCTCCAAGTTTCTTCTCGAGTTATGTGTGAATTTATATTGATAGTAAGATGCAAAGTTGACCTGTGTGGAAACTGAACCCACAGTTTTGATCTCAGAGTGCCATATGCTAATCAACTGGAGGAAGTGTAAAATGCAGTAGTAATTAATGGCTTATGTACTTACAGAATTTAAATTCATCACTGCAAAGAGATGAAATTTAAATGTTAAAGTTAAAATCTGAGTATTATGATTTCTTTATGCTAAAGAACAGTAAAATCCTACATTCAGAACATATCACACTATGGTCAAGGCATCACAGGCTGATTTTGACCTTTGAAATATTTTCAGTTTTACAAAGAACTGAATCCCCCATGCTCTCGCTTATAAATGGGCCCTGATCACTAGTCACATTGGCACAAGGGTCAGCAGTCACTGGGCACTGCGGGGTGGGGGGGAATGGGGGAGTGGGAGGGACACATGCCAACACAAAGTGTACCTGGGCCACTACCAGAGGAATTGAGGGCCATCTAGAAGCCAGAACTTTACCTGCATGCAGCCCACTTATGTAGTAAATCCTCACATGTACCCCACAACTCTATAATAAATAAATAAATGTAAATTTTAAAAAATATATTTTCAGTTTTAATTTTATTTCCTTTTAACTTTGTGTGACCCTTTTACCTGAGCATTTATGAATTTCTGAGTGATGTTATATAGCACTCAGTGGAAGAGAATGAGGGAGGTCTTTAATTTGTCAGTATTTTAGCAGCAGACTCTACTGAAAGAATAATTGGATAATCTTCTAAGGCACCATTAAAAGACCAGCAAATATCACCAATGTGAAAAATAGGGGTAGGTAATAAATTAAAATGGAAGTTTAATCTGTAATGTTTCCTGGCAGTACATAAATTCTTATTTAAAGTATAATAATTTTTTGTTGTTGTTTTCAGTGAAATTTTGGCTTATGAATGACTTTTTAAATTGAAAACTTCATCTAGGAGCAGTTACCAAGTTTCACATATTAGTTCAAATGTTGTTCAACCTGTCAATAACATTTTGCTTTAGCAAAGAGAAACATAAAAAGAAATACAGGTTGAATATCCCTAATTCAAAATCCAAATGCTCCAAAATTTGAAAATTTTTGAGCTCCTGCATAAAGCTCAGAGGAAATGCTCATTGGAGCATTACAGAGTTCAGACTTGGGGATTAGGGATGCTGAATACCGGTAAGTATATATAATGCAAATACTGATCCGGAACAAAAATCAAAATCCGAAACACATCTGGCCCCAAGCATTTTAGATAAGGGATACTCAAACTGTATTTTCTTCCCACTGTGATGGTGAAGATTTTTTTTCCTTCTCTGTTTGGATTTCTTCCCCCACTAGCTTTTTGGCAAAGAAAGAAAGAAACAAAAAAGATCTGCTTAGTTGTTAGGGTTAGACTGTAAAAATTGAAACCTGAATTTTTAGATATCTTTGTAAACATCTACAGACCTAACCAGGCATTTAAGATGATTTAATCTCTTTCTAGTGTGTTTTCATAATTGAAATCCTATCTCTTTTTAATGAAAACTGAAGTTCATTGTTCCCACCTGAGACCTAACAACCCCTTTTCCTTTTGCATCCAGGGTGTAGAGTATGACGTGTTTAGTGTCACAGAAACAAATCTTATAACCTAATCATGTATTGGATGAAACCTACCCTGGACAAAGGAGCATTTGTGGTTCAATATAAACAGTGATCCCACTATTGAGTACATTTATATTCAAAGAAGAGCTCTTACATCATCCATGACATGTACCCAATTGTAGATTCCTACAGGGAATTTTCCATCCTCTCTGAGCTATGCTTTCCTGTTTCTCCTCTCTTAACTAAAATTAATCCTTCTGTTTCATTTTGTTTTTTTAAATCAGAGTCTCACTCTGTCACTCAGGCAGAAGTGCAGTGGCACAATCACAACTCGCCACAACCTCAACCTTCTGGGTTCAAGCGATTCTTCTGCCTTCACCTCCAAAATAGCTAGAACTATAGTTGGGTGCCACCATGCCTGGCTAATTTTTTGTTGTTGTTGTAGAGATAAGATCTAGCTATGTTGCCCAGGCTGGTCTCGAACTCCTGGATTCAAGCAGTCCTCCCACTTGGGCCTCCCAAAGTGCTGGGATTACAAGCATGAATCACTACACCCAGCCCCTATGTGTTACTTAAACATTAAGCCTCCCAAAATTAAAATGCTTCTTCAATATGTGTTTTATTAATGTAATCTTTGCCATAGTTTATATAACCAAAATTGAAAGGTGGATTCTTCCAAATTGTTTTCCTGGGCATTTACCATTGCTAAATATTTCTTTGGTCTAGGCAAGCATGAGGACAACCATAAATGCAACCCAAATCTCTTCTTAGGGTTTTAAAGGGTTGATTTAAAAAAAAAAAAAAAATTCATGCTGAGAGATCAAGTCGTGCTGAGAGGCCTTGAGTTTTAAGACTTCATCTCTTCCAGAAATGTCCAGGAATTCCTTTATTCTTTCTCAAATTGATAAGAAGTATATGTGGAGATATAAACCTACCCTTCCTAATGCATCCTTTACATCTGTCCAATGTCTGCAGAACATGGTTTGAATTTGCCTTCTAACCTAATTTGCCTTTAGATACAAAAATAAAAAAATCTGCTCTTTCTCAAAATAGATCTGAAAGCCCCATTCTTATACTGAAACTAGGGCTGTTAGGTGCTTTCATGTTTGTAGCAAGGCTTAATTCTGATTTATCTTAGACTACTCTAATTCAGAGGTTGTCACAGTGCAGAGCTGCAGTTACCTTTGCACCACAATTGAACAAGTGGTTTTCGAAGTAATGATGACCTCCAGAAAAGCAAGTATGCAATTTAAAAAATGCAATTTTAAAAAAATGAATCAGCACCTACTGAGTACCAAGCATTATGCTAGTTATTCAAGATACAAAAATAGGTAGGAAATATGAGATACAAAATAAATAGGAAACAGTTCCTTGCCTTGATGAGTTCAATTTTAAAGGTGAATTTCTTCAAAATGTAGTTACCTTACTGATTGAGGAGTTCTTTATCCATCACTATCACCACCATCCCCACCCTCACCCCACTGCTGTCACTAAGAGTCAGGTTCTCCCATACTGAACACAAGTCTTTGCCTCCTAGGTTGGTTCAGGTGTTGAATTTCGGGTCCATTAACCAGGCAGTTGGGACAGCTCCAAGGGCACTTGGTACATGTCACTGCACTGACACCTAGTAGGCCATGACTCTCTGTTGCATCAGAGATGGCCGAGAGAGATGTTGTCAAGAGAGCAGTGAAAGTTCAAGGGAGGCTGGGAGCAGTGTCTCAGTCTGTAATCCCAGCACTTTGGGAGGCCAAGGAGGGGGGATTACTTGAGCTCAGGAATTCCAGACCAGTCTGAGCAACATAGTGAGACTACTTCTCCACAAAAAAATCAAAAATTACTCAGGCATGGTGGTGCATGCACCTGCCATCCCAGCTACTTGGGAGACTGAGACAGGAGGCTCACCTGAGCCCATGAGATGGAGGTAGAGGTGAGCCATGGTCATGCCCCTGCACTTCAGTCTGGGCCGCAGAGCAAGACCCCAAATCAAAATAGAAAAAAAAGGAAGTCCAAGGGAACTTATAATCCATTTGATTTACATTTGCTTTTCTTTTTGGATAATAATACTAGGGACCAATGGGAGCTGCCTCATTTATTTTTACCTCATTATGTTTTACCCTGACATCTAACCATTGTTCCATCGGAATCTGTAGTTATTGTTGTGCCTGACAATTCACAGGCTCCCAAACATTATTTGAAATGTTGGCCTTTGCCTAACTTTGGCATTTGCCTAGCTTTAAGAGAATGACAGTGTGCTGCAGAGCAAAACTGTGATTTTTTAAAATTCTAGTCTTTCACTGTATATAGAGAAGAAAGAAGATATCTAGATTAAAACTTGGCCTGTGGGGAAGAGTTTCTGAATAAAGTACTAAATACATCAGATTTTAAGATGTGCCTTTCACTGTATGTTTCTGTTTATTTGTAAAAAGCAGAAAAATTAAATAGTTTTTAAAGTATCTAGTAATAATAGCATCTTCTACAGGCAAAAAACAGGGATTTATATTTTGCCTTATGGTGATGTAAGATCCCAGCTGATGACCAAGGAGTCTCTTGCTCTCTCAACGGGGACCCTGAATATTTAACAGAGAATGTCTTGGCATAGTGCCATTTGCATCCAGTTAGTTTTTCTGATGCAGGTGTTCTGAAACTTTGTTGGGCCTTGCACGTCTTTTTGGAATCTTGTGAAAGTTATAAAGACTTTTCCTATAAAAACTCACATAATATCAAATACACAACATTTTAAAGCATAATTTCAGGGTTTTAAAACTCCATGGAGCCTGGCCATGGGCCCCAAGCAAAGAACCTGTGGATTTCTTTATGACACGTTTTATGGTGTGCTGCCCTCAGATTCAGGGCCCAGCTGCA